AGACCCAGAGAGGACTGGGAAGGTGGCTCAGTGGTAGAGTACTTACCTTGCTTGAGGCCCTGGGTTCAATTCCTTAGCATCACGTAAGCAGAAAAAGCCAGAAGTGGCGCTGTGGCTCAAGTGGTAGAGCGTTAGCTTTGAGCTAAAAAGCTGGGAGACAGCACCCACGACCAAAAAAAGAAAACCCATGAAGCATTTTCTCATTTTCCTTGTTCAAAACACTTTTTATTTTGCTCATTAAATGATTTATGGTTCTTTAGGTTAATTTTTTTTTCTTTTTGTTAATCATGGGCCTTGAACTCTGGGCCTGGGTGCTGTCGCTCAGCTCTTCAGCTCAAGACCAGAGCTCTACCATTTGAGCCACAGCACCACTTCTGGTTTTCTGGTTGTTAATTGTAAGAGTCTCACAGACTTTCCTGTGGGCTGGCTTTGAACTAGGATCCTCAGATCTCAGCCTCCTGAGTAGTTAGGATTACTAATGGCATGAGCCACTAGCATCCAGCTTAGGTTAAAATATTTTAAAGAGTTCTATTTTTCACATTAGAATATAAGTAAATTGCTTTGAAGGACATTTTTATTAAATCTGATGTTGACATTTTTAGCAATAAGGATAGTTTTTCTCTGTATAATCTAATATTTGTTTTGTCAAGGTTTTTATTTTTTGAGATTTTTACAGAGATAAGTAACTATTGTAGTTTCTTAACCGTTTTTACCAACTTATTTAAAAATATTTAGTTCAGTAATATAAAATATTCATAATAAACTAAAAAGTGTAAGGTAGATAGCCTTGGGTAAGTCACTTGAAATAACTTCATCTATAAAAGAGTGATCACAGGACTGGGAATGTGACTTAGCTGGTAGAGTGCTTGCTTAGCATGCATGAAGCCCTGGGTTTGATTCCTCAGTATCACATAAACAGAAAAGCTGGAAGTGGTGCTGTTGCTCAAGTGGTAGAGCATTAGCCTTGAGCACAGAGAGGTTCAGGGATAGCACCCAGGCCCTGAGTTCAAGCCCTAGGACCAGCAAAACAACAACAAAAAAAAACACTTTCGGGGGCTGGGAAGGTGGCTCAGTGGTAGAGCGCTTGGCTTGCATGCCTGAGGCCCTGGGTTCGATTCCTCAACACCACATAAGCAAAAAGAAAAAAGCCGGAAGTGGCGCTGTGGCTCAAGTGGTAGACTGCTAGCCTTGAGCTGAAGACCTGAGGGAAAGCGCCCAGTCCCAGAGTTCAGGCTCCACGTCCAGACCCACCAAAAAAAAAAAAAAAACACTTTCATTTTTGAGGATAAAAGTAGTTTATATATGTAAGGAGTTGAATAATATGCTGCACATAGAAAGTACTATATATGCTTTAGCTATCAGCATTTAAGAAAACAGCACTTTTCAATTATGCAAGGTGAAAACTTTGGAAAATTTTTCTTAAAGTAGAACTTTTTAGTAATCTTTCCTGGCTTCTTTGGAATGGAAAAATTATGAAATATAAATAAAGGGAACGAAAAATTAAATCTAGTGCTCTACTTTTCCTTAAGTTCATATATTTTCTGACCTTAAAACTTTAAATTGGATATGTTGAATTCTTGACTTTGAACTTTAATAAAATCCTCACTGTAAAAATTCTTTTTATAGAAAAGTTGTATAGTCTTTCATTGTTTCATTTAGGAAAACCTGGAATTCATGTTATAAACAGTATCTGTTTTCAATAATCTGTTTTCAGATCTATGGCTTTTATGATCTGTATAGGAGACATAACAAATTTGTCAAGATGCACAAATATTCATTAGACTTCTGCTTTAGTAACAGTTATGTAATGAGTATAAATGCATAAATTCAAAGTCTGTAAAAAAGTTTTTTGCTTTTTATTTAGAAAAATTTCTTAGTGGAATACATTGTGGAAGAAAACCAATGTAGTTTTTTAAACGTATTATATGATTAAAAAATATTTTAGTTATTAAAACTTCAGGAGTTACTATTTGCTTATATTAGGAGTTCACACATAAATTTCAGGAATACATTAGCGTCTTATAATACAAACCTCCATTGATGAGAATTTGGTACAAAGTAGTCAGAGAGATGGTGATATTACTAAGATAAAATACCAACTCCTTTCCTTCATAGCATAGCTCCTGAAATACTTTGATTGACAATTCCTTTTTTATATGTCAAAACCACTTTCAGAATCTAGAGTAAAGGCACCTAAAGTTTAACACCTACTTATCTCAAGAAATTACTGTGTACTCTCCGACAAGTCACTGATTACCTGTAGATGTAAGTTTTTTTTATTGTAATTGTTCAGTTATACTTCTGTTCTGTTATTCTTTTTAAGACTATTTGTGTAGCCCATTCTGGCTTCAGTCTCTTTTCTCAGTACTTGTACTTCTGCCTTCCAAGTGCTGGGAATACAGACCTGTACTACCATGCCTACCTTGGTTCTGTTACCTTTAACATTTGCAAAACCAAGCCTAATGAGTAGTAGCAATGAATTTTTTTGTCCTCTTTTTCATTATATCTTACTGGCTTCTGGAACAATTTTTTTTTGTAATTCCTAGGTAGCCTAAAGATGATGAATCATAAACATTTAATTTTTTTATTGTGAGAATACTGTACAGAGGAGTTACAATTACATGGGCAAGATAACGAGTACATTTCTTATCAAGCATTGTTGCCTCCTCTTTGTTTCCCTTTCCCATCCCTTCCCATACTCCCCCCTCCCCCCACCCAATGCTCCCCCCACCAAAGTTGTAAAGTTCGTTTTTCGACATAACGACTTGTACATCTCATTGTTGCAAAGGGTCCACCTGTATCCGTAGTTAAACAATTTGTTTTTTTCCCCTCCCCTCCACAAATTATACCAACATCAAATACAGTGAAAGCATGAGTTATACAGTGGGGGAAGGGCCTACAAAGAAATCATCTTATAAATATGTTAGAAACAATTGCATGAAAGAAAAAAAACAAAACAAACCATTTGAATACTTATCATCAACTTATCTGACTTTTTCTGCTTGACTCAGACATATACTAGTTATTGCAAATAAGGGAAACCATGGGACCTATGTTTCTTTGGGCCTGGCTTACTTCACTTAATATAATTTTCAGTCATGGGGCTTGAACTCTGGGCCTGGGCATTGTCCCTCAGTTCTTCAGCTCAAGGCAAGTGCGCTACCTCTTGTGCCACAGTGCCACTTCCAGTGTTCTGGTGGTTTATTGGAGAGTCTCATGGACTTTCTTGCCCCGGCTGGCTTTGAACCACAAACCTCAGATCTCAGCCTCCTAAGTAGCTAGGATTATAGATGTGAGTTACCAGCTCCTGGCTTGACATTTAATTTTTAAAATTCCTCTTTGAGATTGTGTGTGTGTGTGTGTGTCAGGTAGTGTGTGTGTGTGTGAGAGAGAGAGAGGGTCGGGTACCTGTGGCTGCCTGTAATCCTAGCTGCTCAGGAGGCTGAGATCTGAGAATCCAGGTTCTTATCCAGCCCTGGAAGAAAGTCCATGAGACTCTTATCTCCAATTAGCCACCAGAAAACCGGAAGTGGCACTGTGGCTCAAATGATAGAGCACCGGCCTTGAGCTGAAGAGCTGAGGGACAGTCCAGGCCCAGAGTTCAAGCCCCACAACAACAACAACAAAAATTCCTCTTGCGGGTTATTTTTAGGTTCATAAATATTGTGAGAATTTACCATATACTTAGTAAAAAAAATTAATCATTGTCTACTTTACATACATCATTATCATAAATGTTAGACAATAACTTGACCTCTGTAGGCCTCATTTTTGTCATCTATAAAGAATAAAATTAGATCATCTCTTAAGTTTCCATTTTGATTATAGGATCCTTTCTTAAAAGAGATGTATCAGCCTGGTATAATGGCACACATCTTGAATCCCTGTAAAAGGGAGGCTGAGGCAGGAGGAGCAAGAATTTTAGGCCAACTTGGCTCTATACTTAACCCTCTTAAAAAAAATAAAAAAGTGAACGCTAGGCATTGGTGGCTCAGGGCTGTAATCCTAGTTACTCAGAAGTACTCAGAAGGTTGAGGATCATGGTTCAAAGCCAGTCCAGGCAGTAAAGTCCACAAGGTTTTTATCTCCAGTTAATCACACACACACACACCCCGAGACACCCCCCCCCGAGACACACACACACACACCCCGAGACACACACACACATCCCAAGACACACACACACACACATACACACACATACACACACACACACACCCGAAGTGAAGCTGTGTCTCAAGTGGTAGAGCACTAGAGTTCAAGTCCCAGGACCAGGAAGCAAACCACAAAACATGCATGTAAGAAAACAGTTTTTAGAGTTTGGTTGTTTAACAAGGCAGGTGGTGTTTTGGTATTTTTTAATAGCATATTTAAATAATTTGTCAAAAACAAAACAAGTAGAATTTTAAAATAATATATTGGCTTCATTTGGGAGTGATGAATATATTTTAACACTGTAGTAAAGGAAAATAAGCACCTCAGTAGAACCTGACAAAGAAAACATTAAGATAGGAAAATAGGGATTTTCATTTATAATTTGTGATCTGTTAGAAAGGTAATGAGTTGAAAAAATATGGTGTCTCTTATCTGCTTATATGGAAGCAGAAAAATTGATGAGTCTAGTACGCAATATTTAAAACCACTTTATGTGTTCAGATATGGTTTTTTCTACTTATGTAGAAAAATTGAATAACGAATTTTAATTGCTTGACTTATTGGCACAGCTCTATCTCTAAATGCACTTCCAAATGTTTCATTGTCTCACTGTCTGTTTCTGTGCATGTTAACATTTAAAATATATTTTGGTAGTTTTTTAATTCATTGACACTACATGGTTTATTCGCTTGCTCCCATTATTTAAAAAAAGATTTGTATTTTTTTTCACTGAACAAAAAAAATCTTGATTTATTTTTTAAAAAGGATGCTTACACTGTGGTTGAAATGAACTTATTTTTCATATTCATATAGTTTCTACTATGTGTAATTTTTCTCTCTTACAGATATCGATGATGCTCAAATACTTCCCCGTTCAACTAGAGTCAGACATTTTTCACAGAGTGAAGACACTGGAAATGAAGTTTTTGGTGCCTTGAATGAGGAACAGCCATTGCCTCGAAGTAGCAGTACTTCTGACATCTTGGAACCATTCACAGTTGAACGAGCCAAAGGTGCAGTTCCTGTCATTGACAGTTCATCCCGTCATGCACCAAGCTTGCAGAGTTCCACAGAGGCTTCTTCAATAACTAGATCCACTGAAAGCCACATCACTGATACTCATAGTAGAGAGTCTTCTCTGGAAGTTGGTGATAGCATATATGACCATCTTTGTCACTTAATAGGTCCAGTAGAACTTGCAGATTCAGCTTTTGAACAAATCCAGTACATTGACCTTGAAGGAGATGATGATCTTCTTTCTTCCCTGAAAGAATATTTTAAGGAAAACCAGGAATATTATAGTAAAAATGAGATAGGTAAAGATACAACTTCTCAGGAAGTGATTGTTGAAGTTACCAGGGATGAAAGATCATCCTTGGATAAATTAGAATACATAGATCAGGAAATTAGATCAGAAAATTTCATGCCTTTTGTTGGGACTCCTGAAAACATACAATTTCAAAAAGAACCAAACTCAGCTGTCTTCATGAGTAATATCGTACCTATCCAGTCAGATAGTTTAACAAGAACACAAACTTCTGAAAAATCTAAGCAACTAAACATTGATGAGCAGTCATCGGATCCTAGTTCAGATAGCCCTGGTGAAAAAGAAAAAAAGAAATACCTGTATAGACAAACAGCCACAGAATTAGATGCCTGTGTAGATGCAACACTAGTTGAAAAGCTTAGAGGTGTGAAAATTAATGAAAAACTCACTGTCCCACATATAATTCATGCCAAGAAAACTACACTTAAAGCACCAGTTAACCGTAGAATGCCTTATGTTTCAAATACTAGCAAGCTTTCTCCAACTAAAAGGAGCTTGTCTGAAACAGTAACTCATAGGGCCAAAATCATGAAAATTGCTGCTAAGAAACGAAACAGTGTTCATGTTACTTTCAGACCATCTACTGAATCTGTTCAGTTTTATAATCCTCTGGAAAACAAAGAGGCTCCATGGAAGATGAGACTGCGGAAGCTCAGTGGCTTTAGTAATAGTAGCAGCAGCAGCACTAGCAACACCCATACCAGCTTACCTAGTGGTCCAGAGTTTGTAAAGCCTGGTGTGTACAGGCCTTTAGATACAATTACTACATCATCAGTTAGCAAAACAGCGAAGGAATCTACAGAGATTCCCACCACCATACTACAGAAAGAAGGAATTCCAACTAACCAATTAGGTAGTCGTAGCACAGTCAGATCAGCAAATCATGAGGCAGGACTACAGCAGGGCTCCCTGGGTGGCGTTTATAAAACTGTTGTACATGCTCTTTCGAAGCCGAAGGCAAATGTTTCCCCACAGAGGCAGAACAGAATGCCACCAGAGGCTCCACTGAGGGATCTGTACAGTCATGTAATGGGCTATTTTGGAAGGAAAGCTGCAGGTGAGCACTAACAGTGTGCAGAGCGCAAAAGGAGAAAGACAGCACCAGTTTGGCTTAATGCAACTGAAGCAAGCTATAAGCAATCAAAAAGCTTTGGGATGGTCACTGCTTTCTCTCTGTTTGGTTATGCATGCGCCTTTCCCCCAGCTGTACTTTTCCCAGCATAAAATGTTTATTTAAATTACTAATTTCCCTTATAAGCCATTTAGTTAAACCTCTTTGCTGCTGAACAGGATAGGAAAAAAGATAGAATTTAACAACCTTTCAAGGCTGAGTGTGTAATACGTGAGTCTTAAAATTTAAAGTTTACTGAGGAGTTCCTGTACTTTTTCTCTTGCCTCACTATAGTTTATATTTTAAAGAGCACTAGCTATGCTTAATATTTAATTGAAATCATGTATTTTTTAGTGCTGACTTAATTTGGTTTTGTATTTTTTCTTGGTAGAAAATTATTTTGAATTCTAACCAGCAATTAAGGTTCTATAACCAGTCCCAGCTTTCAAAGTAGATTTAGTCACATTTCATTTAAATCATTTATAAAATCTTGTGGGTTTTTAGTTTTGCATTCATTCATAGCAGAATGCAAGTTACGTCCTTGAAATACTTTGACATTTTAAATGTGAATAAAGGTTTCATAGACAGATAGCAGTAATAAAGTAAGATTATGGTAACTGTTTTATCTTGTCAAAGGTAAACAAACTAACTTTACAAATACAGAAAATTAACTTTCAGCAGTAAGGTAGGTTTTGATTTTATTTTAACATGGTTTTGTTGGCATGATTAACCAACGCTGAATAGTGCATCTTGCATCGAGCCATTAATGCCACCTGAGGGCAGTATTTGGCAGCTTAGCAAAGCCTGGCCAGTAATATAAAGATAATGGTATTTCACAGTGAACTTCTGACCGGTGTATTTTTTAAAGCTGAAATGCTTTATAGTTTATTAGAAGCATAAACAATTCTGAACTTATTTATATTGCAGAGAAACCAACTTTTCAACAGCATAGTAGTGACATAAAAAATCTTGTTTTCTATAAGTTAGTTTCTCAAGTTAAAATATTCTTGTTAAAATAAATCATAATGTTATAAAAAACCAAAATGCCTATTTTGATTGATCTTTGAAAATTATAAAATATTTTTGTCAAAGCATTTAGATTAGATTTTATAGTGAATAGAAGCAATAATATATCCTAATTGTAGAATTGTTCTTATAAATATCCAAACTTTATGCATTTGTATCTCACTAAGATTTGTATAGGCTGAAAGAACATTTTACTCTAGTATGCTTTGGGGAAAACAGGAAACTTAAACATTTTAAAGGCTCTAAATAGAAGCATACAGGCAGTAGGAAAAAGAAATATACCAATTTCTTTATAGGCAATATTAACCTGACTTCATCCAGTGCTTATCTGTAAGCTTTCTTGCTATTCAAGGTTATACTGAAGATTGACTAACATCTGCTTAGTTAAATAAAGTAAATATCAATTTACTAATTCTTACAGTTAAACCTAAAAGGAGGGAAATTATTCATAAGTGCATGTTTGGCAAATAATTGGTATGGCAAAGGTACTTTGTTTGGGGTTATTTTTTGTTTCAAATTTAGAATGTGAACTTAAAGTGTTCCTTATTATATATAGTTATTTATTTACTTTTAGTCAGTAAAGAGGACATGAGCCCCAAACTGCCTCCTCTTAATAGTGATATTGGCAGCAGTGCTAATGTGCCTGATCTGATGGATGAGTTTATAGCAGAACGACTTCGAAGTGGTAATGCCTCGGTAAGTTGGTTTTCTTTGTTTGGTTTTTATAATATTTTACATCCAAAGACATAAAACAAACAGACTAACAGTATTCACTAAAGAAAGATTGAAATGCTTATTTGCTCAAGTAGCTATATTCTGCCTTCCTAGTTCCCCTCTATATTTTTCATCTTTCTGCATAGTGTCCTTAGTGACACTAATAGAAAAGGTTACAATGGAGTTACCTGGTCAGCTACCATATATTATATTGAATATTAAATATCAGAATGAAAATAGAAGATTTGTATCCCAAATAATGCTAAAAGTCCATACTCCATTTGAATTTCACATTGTTCTGTAACTGTCACATTGTTTTGGTTTTAGGTTTTTTTTTTTCTCTTGAAGTCATGTACAGTCAGTATCAAATGACATTTGTCATTATTCTTTCTTCTTTCATTATTTCTTCTCTTGAGTCTTTTTACACTTACTTACTCTATAGTTAGCTTATATTCACTCCATGAATACCAACCAGTAAGGCTTAAGAATTTCATGTCTAACACTAATATTTGGGATTTTTTTATTTTTTGTTTTTGCCAGTCATGGGCTTGAACTCTGGGCCTGGGTGCTGTCCCTCAGCTCTTTAGGTCAAGGCTAGTGCTCTACCACTTGAGCTACAGTGCCACTTCCTTTTTTTCTGCTTATGTGGTGCTGGGGAATTGAACCCAGGGCCTCACGCATGCAAGGCAAGCACTCTATCACTGAGCCACCTTGCAGCCCCATATTTGGGATTTTTGTTTTCGGTAGACAAACAATAGTTTAGGCACCAGTTCCATACTATTAACAGGTTGCATAGATTGCTGAGTGAGTGTGTTTCTCTTTTCTCCTTGTGAGGCACCACAATTGCCTCATTTATTGTACTGATAATCTTGGAAAGTAGAGGTTTCACGTACTTCACGAGAATAAAAGTTTTATTTTTCAAATGGTAAAATGTTTCTTTAATTTTTAGACTATGACAAGAAGAGGAAGTAGTCCAGGCAGCCTCGAAATTCCCAAAGACCTGCCTGATATTCTAAACAAGCAAAATCAGATGCGCCCTATTGATGACCCAGGAGTGCCCTCGGAATGGACTTCCCCTGCTAGTGCAGGGAGCAGTGATCTTATCAGCTCAGATAGTCATTCAGATTCTTTTAGTGCTTTCCAATATGATGGCCGAAAATTTGACAGCAAGTATCTTTTACTATTTGAACAATGTGTTTTATATTGTTTGCTTTCTGTTCAAGCTTTTCTTATGGATTACATAGCTGTTCACTTTACTTTCTACTGTTAATTAGAGAGTAGTTACCACATATTTTGGTTTCACTTTTTAGTGAAATTCCAATACAAGTTGTAGGAAATCATGTCATATTGAAACTATTTTTGCAAATTAGGATATTAAAAAAACCACTGCCCTTTCATTATACAAAGCATATTTTTAATATTTTTATTGTAAAGATACTGTACAGATGGGTTACAGTTACATGAGTAAGGTAATGAGTACATTTCCTCTTGAGCATTGTTACCCCAACCAGCCATCCCTTTCCTCCCCACCTCAACTCTTCCCTCCCCCCCTCTCCCGAAGTTGTACAGTTCATTTTTAACAGTGTCTTGTACATCTCATTGTACAGGTCGGCCTGTATTCTTGATTCAGCATCTTGATTCAGCATTTTGTTATTTCCCTTCCTCTCCCCAAATTAGAAAAATGTATATATAAGATGCAGGGTACCAGAATCAAACACAGTGAAAATGGGGGTTATACCATGGGAAGAACATATGAAAGAAACAAAAGAAAGCACATTACATTATAAGTATGTTGAAAACAACAGCAACAAAGATAAACCCTCTTGTGTCTCTAGCTTGGGGTTCATTTCGATTAGCACCATCTTATGGTCATATGTGCATAGCTTTTGACCTTTTCTACTTGATTGGTAAGGTTTCCTAGACGTATACTAGTTACTGCAAAGAAAGGAAACCATGAGACCTATGTTTCTTTGGGTCTGGCTTACTTCACTTAGTATAATTTTTTTCCAAGTCTTTCCATTTCCTAACAAATGGGGTGGTGTCATTCTTTCTGATGGAGGCATAGAATTCCATTTTTGTGTGTGTGTGTGTGTGTGTGTGTGTATCACATTTTCTTGATCCATTTTGTGTGTGTGTGTGTGTATCACATTTTCTTGATCCATTTTGTGTGTGTGTGTGTGTGTGTGTATCACATTTTCTTGATCCATTTTGTGTGTGTGTGTATGTGTGTGTGTGTGTGTGTGTGTATCACATTTTCTTGATCCATTCATCTAGTGAGGGGCATGTGGGTTGGTTCCATATCTTAGCTATGGAGAATAATGCTGTGATAAACATAGTTGGGCTGGTACTTTTAGTATGGCCTTGTTTGTGATTGTTTCGGTAAATGCCCAAAAGTAGTATTGCTGGGTCATAGGGGAACTCTTTTGAGGGACCTCCATACTGCTTTCCAAAGTAGTTGAACAAGTTTACATTCCCACCAGCAATGCAGTAGGGTTCCCTTTTGGCCACATCCCCTCCAGCATCTGTTGTTGTTAGATTTCTTAATTATAGCCATTCTAACTGGGGTGAGGTGGAATCTCAGTGTTGTTTTGATTTGCATTTCTTTTATGGCTAGAGAAGTTGAGCATTTCTTTATGTGTCTATGGGCATTCTTATTTCCTCTTCAGAGAAGTCTCTCTTTAAGTCTTTAGCCTATGTATTAATCAGGCAGTTGTGTCTTTAAGGATTTGTTTTTTGGGGGGTTAATTTTTTGAGTTCCAAGGTATATTTTAGATATGAGGCCCTTGTCTGTTGTATGGCTAGTGAAGCTTTTCTCCCAATCCGTGGGCTTTCTATTGATCTTGCTAGGTGTGTACTTTGCCATGCAGAAGCTCTGCAGTGTCATGCAACCCCATTTGTCCAACCTTTTTTTGGTTTGTTGTGTTTATAGGTCTCTATTAAGAAAGTTTCAGCCTGTGCTAAGGAGTTCTCGAAAAGTTTCTCCTATTCCTTCTTGTAATGTTTTCAGTGTGTCTTCTTTTACTTCGAGGTCTTTGATCCATTTGGAGGTGATTCTGGTGCAGGGTGATATACAAGGATCTAGCTTTAGTTTTCTATAGGTGTTTAACCATTTTACCGGCACCATTTACTGAAGAGGCTGCCTTTCTTCCATTTTTTTTTTTTTTTAGCTCCCTTGTCGAAAATTAGGTGGCTATAGGTCTGTGGGTTTATTTCTGAGTCTTCAGTTCTATTCCATTGGTCCTCAGGTCCGTTCTTGTGCCAGTCCCAAGCTGTTTTAATTACTAGGTCTTTGTAGCTTGAAATTTGGTATTGATATTCCTCCAGTACTGATTTTTACAAAGCATATTTTTAAGACCAAAAGTGTAGAAAGAAAAATAATTTTGGATGGAGTTGAAATTTAAGGCCAGTTAAAATTGTGAATTGCCACTTTCTTATATGCTCTTACCTGATAGCCTGTGAGCAGTTATGTGCAATCCTATAGCTACCATAGTACCTTGACTAAAGTGCTCCATGTTGAAGAACATCAGTGATATTACTTGGCACTATATTACCACATTGTTACTTTGCAGAAATTCTGTTATACCTCTCAGACAGCAAAAGCAACTAAAGCTAAAAAGAAGAAAGTAAAATCCTTAGAGCTAAATAGATTTGTGAGAGCACTGGAGATGTGCTAGAGAATTCCATGCTTTCTCCCCTTATGAACTGATTCTATACTATTATGATTTAAATCAGATATGATTAAAAAGAAAGATAGTTTATACTGTATATATGTAATTTTTGTTTTTTTTTGTTTTTTTTTTTGGGTCCAGTCGTGGGGCCTGAACTCTGGGCCTGGGCGCTGTCCCTCAGCTCTTCAGCTCAAGGCTAGTGCTCTACCACTTGAGCCACAGTGCCACTTCCGGCTTTTTTCTTTTTGCTTATGTGGTACTGAGGAATCGATCCCAGGGCCTCGAGCATGCAAGGCAAGTGCTCTACCACTGAGCCACCTTCCCAGCCCATTTTTTAGGTTTATTCTTATACTAGAGATTATGAAATACTTGAAAAGCACTGCTTGTTACTAGCTATCACAATACATGGACAGGAATAGTGATCACACATTTTGTCTTTTGTTATAATCTTCAGAATGTTGACATTACATACACTTGCCAGAGTAAATAGAATTTTAGAGGAAATGTTTATTTGATCATTTTACTGATTTAGCTGTGTCTTAGTTATAATTGCAAATACCTTTTATAGCAGGGGCTTGTACATTGTCATTTCTTCTTCATAGACTTTGGGTTTGGAGCTGACACTGGAATTGCATCCTCTGCCGATGTGGACTCAAGTTCTGGTCATCATCAGAGCACAGAAGAGCAGGAAGTAGCCAGTTTAACTACACTTCATATAGATTCTGAAACAAGTAGTCTCAACCAACAAGCTTTCTCTGCTGACGTTGCAACAGTTACTGGTAAAGTTATTGGAAAGAATGTGTTGCTTAAATGAGGGAGGAAATACTAGACTAGGTTCTTGACATGAAGTCTATGTGTCTTAAGTTTTATGGATCCTCTAAACTCCTAATATTTTCTATGAAATACATGATAGCCTTTCCTGTTGTTTTTTTTTTGTTTTGTTTTGTGATACTGGGGTTTGAATTTAGCATCTCAAGTTGCCAGACACATTCTACCACTTTTGAACCAAACCTCAAGCCCTATTTGTTTTGTTAATTTTGAGATACGGTTTCATATTTATGCCTGAACTAACCTGCACTGGGATCCTCCAATTTATTCTTCATGCTTACCTGGGATACACAACCTACTCAGCTCTGTTTTGTTTTGTTGGTGCCAGTCCTGGACACTGTACCTGAGTTTTTTTGCTCAAAGCTAGCACTCTTCTGCTTGAACCACAGCTCCAATTCCAGCTTTTTTTTTGTAGTTTATTCAAGCTGAAAGTCTTAGAGACTTTGCTGTCCATGCTGACTTTGAACGATGATCTTCAGGTCTCAGCTTCCTGAGTAGCTAGGATTCAGATATGAGCCACCAGTACCTGGCCATACCCAGCTTTTGATTAGTTGAGATGGGAGGTCTTGGGAACTCCTTGCTTATCTGGGCTACTCTTGGACTATGATTCTCCTGATTTTTACCTTTGGAGTAGCTTGAATTAAAGGTGTAGGACATCAACCTCCTGCAGTTATTTCTAACTAGATAAAAAATTCTTAAAGTACTGTGCTGTTCCTTTTTACATGTCATTTAGGGTCTAGATTTCGTTTTTGGAGGGTAAGGGGTAAAGTATTTGTTACACTGTAATAAAAGGTCTATTTGTTAATATATTTGTTAACATTCTCTATACAGAAAGTTTTGTTTTTCAGATACTTTTTATATATAAATGACCAAATCAACCATATTATAATAAATCATACTATATTTTGTTATTATAGTTATTATCATTATTAATGATATTTTATTGACATGCTTGGCTAATTTATAACTCATTTTGTCTTCAAAGTTGTAGATTTATGTTTTTCTAAGCTTTTAAGTATTACATCTCAAGTAGGTTCTTCAAGTAACTTTACAAAATTATATTTACAGGTTCAGGAAGTGCTTCCCCGGTACATTCAGCTCTTGGATCCAGATCACAGACACCATCCCCTTCTACACTAAATATAGATCACATGGAACAGAAAGATCTACAACTCGATGAGAAGCTCCATCACTCTGTTCTTCAGACACCAGATGATCTAGGCAATATTTAGAAATTATATATTTGCCATTTTTCCTTTTAGGCTACTAGTGTTAGGAGATCTCAGGTCATAAAAATTGATTCCATATGATTATTATAGGTCTTTGAACTTTCCTAAGTCTTTTTCTCCTTTTTCTTCTTCCTCTCCATGCCCTGCCCTACCCTCTTATTTTTTTGGAGGTACTGGGATTTGAATCCAGGTCTTGAACTTACTAGGCAGGTGCTCGACCACTTGAACCATACCTCCAGACGTTTGTTGCTTATTATTTTTCAGATTAGGTCTCATATTTTGCCCAGGTTAACCTCAGGCTGCAGCTTCTACCTGTTCCTCTTGGATAGCTATTGTTACAGTTGTGTGATACCCTGCTTGGTCTACTGGTTAAGTGTCCGTAACTTTATTGCCTAGGCTGCCTCCTGAATTGCTGGTATTCCATACATGCACCACCATACCCACCAAGCATTTTCTAAGTCTTTTGGAGATTTGTTACTATATAATTTTTCTTGCTCTTAATGAAAGTTCTTGATTCCAGCTACTTGGGAGGTAAAGGCAGAGGGATCAAGATTTAGAGGTCAACAGAAACAATGATAAGACTATACATCTAAAACAAAATACAGCCGGTGGTTCATACCTGTGATTCTAGATACTCATGAGGCTAAGATTTGAGGATTATGGTTTGAAGCCAGCCTGGGCAGTCTGTGAGACTCTTATCTCCAATTTACTACCAAAAAAGCCAGAAGCAGACCTGTGGCTCAAGTGGGAGAAAGCTAGACTTGAGCAGAAAGCTCAGGGACAACACGTTGGCCCTGAATTCAAAAAAATAAAATATAGGGGTTAGGAAGGTGGCTCAGTGGTAGAGTGCTTTGCCTAGCATGCATGAGGCCCTGGGTTCGATTCCTCAGTACCACATAAACAGAAAAATCTGGAAGCGATGCTGTGGCTCAGGTGGTTGAGCTCTAGCCTTGAGCTGAAGAGCTGAGGGACAGCACACAGGCCAAGTTCAGGGCCCATGACTGACCAAAAATACATAAATAAACATGCTTTTTAAAAATAAGTAAATAATAAAATAAAATATTAAACATAAGAGTTTAGACCATGGCGCAGTAGTAGAATGTAAGCTTGAGATGGTAATTTAAATCACTTGTGTTGGGGGAAAAATAAGAAAAAGGTAGCTATAAAATAACTCTGATTTTTGTTGTTGTTTATTTTATCATACACAGTACTAATGTTGACTTTTTTTCATAAGTTTTTTTTTTTTTTGTCAGTCATGGGGCTTGAACTCTAGGCTTGGGTACTGTCCCTTAGCTCTTCAGCTCAAGGTTAGCAATCTGCCACTTGAGCCACAGTACCACTTCCCATTTTCTGAGTGGTTTTTTGGAGATAAGAGTCTCACAGACTTTCCTGCTTGGGCTGGCTTTGAATTGTGATCCTCAGATCTCAGCCTCCTGAGTAGCTAGGATTACATGCGTGAGCCACTGGCACACAGCTAATAATGACATTGTTGAGTTGTATTATTGTTTATCGATAGGATACTATTTCCTAAAAGGGAAAATAATTTGCAATCATTATTCTTAATATTATGTTTGTATGTGTACTGTTGACTCACAGGAAAAACAACATTATTTCTTGGTCATTCAAGCTCAGTGAAGTAATTTATTTCTGCGCGTAAGTGCTCTATCACTGAGTCCCAGCCCTTTTTATAAAAGTGATGCTTTTTTTTAAAATTTATCAACTAAATTTAAGAAGTAGACATTCAAGACTGGGAGCAGTAAGTCACACATGTAATCACAGGTACTTAGGAGGTGGAAATCAAGTAACAAAAGGATCCAATGTCAAGGCCAGCTTGCGCAAGAAGTTTCAAACCATCTTATCACATAAGCCAAGTGTGATGGGACATGTTTGTAATTCAGGCGCTAGAAGAAGCTATAGGTAGGAGAATCCTGGTCAAAGGCCAAACCTAGAAAAAAACAGAAGATGTGGCCTAAGAAATGACTAAAGCCAAAAAAGGGCGAGAGCATATTTCAAGTGGTAGAGTAGCTGAGCCACAATGACACTTCAGTTCTCTAGTGGTTAATTGGAGGTAAGAGTCTCATGGCCTTTCCTGCTGGGCTGGCTTTGAACAATGATCCTCAGATCTCACTCTCCTGAGTAACTAGCATTACAGGCATGAGCAATCAACACCTTGCAGTATTTTTTTGGGGGGGGTCCGGTCGTGGGGCCTGAACTCTGGGCCTGGGGGCTGTCCCTCAGCTCTTCAGCTCAAGGCTAGCGCTCTACCACTTGAGCCACAGCGCCACTTCCGGCTTTTTAAAAAAATTTTGCTTATGTGGTGCTGAGGAATCGAACCCAGGGCCTCAGGCATGCAAGGTAAGCGCTCTACCACTGAGCCACCTTCCCAGCCCATCCTTGCAGTATTTTTAAGTAAATACTATAAAGTGATTTAGGGTACTTCAAAACTATATATTTTGTATTGTTTTTGTTTTTTGTTGAACTCTGGGCCTGGGCGCTGTCCCTCAGCTCTTCAGCTCAAGGCTAGCGCTCTACCACTTGAGCCACAGCAACCACTTCCTGCTTTTTCTGCTTATGTGGTGCTGAGGAATGGAACCCAGAGCTTCATGCATGCAAGGCAAGCACTCTACCACTGACCCACCTTCCCAGCTCCTGTTGTTTTTTTAAAAATCGTATTTCTGTTAAATCCTGCATTATGTAACAAGCATGAAATAGACACTTTGTGTCAAAAATTTTGGTCAAAGACATTGAGATTATTTATAGTGAAGATACAAAAGATATGTTTTTTTTCTTTGCTTTTGGTCAGGGGACTAGTATGGGGGGGGGGAGGTTTGAACTCAGGGCTGTGTCGTTCCTAGGCAGGCACTCTGTTAGTACTAATGCCATAGGCCAACCCTTTGTTTACTTTTTATTACTGCAGCACATTTACTATAAAGGAAGAAGAAATGGAGCCATATATCCCAAGTGGTAGATTGGCAGCCTTGAACAAGAAAGCTAAGGGAAAATGAGATATCCTGAGCTTATTCCCTAGTACTGACCCTTCCCTCATAAAAAGAAAAAGAAAAAATTAAAAAGTTATTTTTTTATGTGTGCTAGTAATGGAGGCTTGAACTCAGGACCTCACATTCTTAGTTGGCTTTTTCACCCACAGTTGGTGCTCGTATCACTTGAGCATGCCTCCAGTGAAGCTTCTTTTTTTATTAGTTAATTAGAAATAGACTCTCAGACTTTTCTGCCCAGGCTGGCTTCAACACATGATCCTCAGATCACCTCCTGTGTAGCTAGGATTATAGATGTGAGCCACCAGCACTTGGCTTTAAAGATTTTTTTTTTTTTTGCATCTGACTGTATCTTTTTTTTTCTTTTTTTTATTGTAAAGATACTATACAGAGGGTTACAGTTACATGAGTGAGGTAATGAGTACACTTCCTCTTGAACATTGTT